GTGTCACCAAAAAGTCATCATTCAACGAAGAAAGAAAAGCACGTGGGCATAAGCTGAAAGACATGGGATGAGTACAAAAGGTGACATAGCCGTATGCCTCATTCAAGTTAGTCGTGTCCTACCAGCTATTCAAAGCTTCAAACCATGTATGTCTAAGGAGAAAGCTATGTGCCTATAACAAATAAACCATGTGCTTTAACGGGTGTTTATGTGAGTGGCTCCTTGTGTTAGAATCTTACTTTTGCGGGGTTTGTAAGAGTATAAATAGGAAAGTAGGTTTTTACTTTGAGGGATTCATTCATAGCGACCATAGAGAAAACAACCATTGTTACCTAAATTATGCAACTCTAAATATTCTTCTTGGTTGAAGAAAAAGTTGAAGCTTTGGTTAAATCGTTGTGATATCTACATGGGTTCTACTTCTAATCTAATCCTTTTTGGGTATTTTATGTTTTTCTATAATATATGAATATGATTATGTTGATTTATTGATTAAGGCATACATGTTAGTATAGGAGCCACTAGATACAACCTGGTTAGGATAGGTTTGACTTATTATAATATCGCATTATATATTTTATTAATAAAAGAAGTCTTTTTATTTATTCTTATTATTTATATTCATTAATAGAATTAGATAGAAGTCCATATGATGTTCATTGTGTTAATGATTGATTGAAAGATGTGAGATAAACATCAATGCGGTTAAATGATATCCTTAAATGTCTCAAATCATAACATCACCAAAAATGGATATTAACCATATGCGGTAAGACTTATGAGTGTTATACTCATGCTATAAGATAGTAGTAGGAGATCTCACATCTATTGGCATGGTGATGCCAAAGCAAGCGATTAGGTGATTAATATTAGAGAATATATCACTAGACTTGACTCGCCATGAGAACCCATTTGGTTTAGTCTATGAGAATCTCATATGAGATGGGTATAATTGGTCCTTTGACTTGAAATCATCATGATTATCTCATTAGAGGATTTATATACTTTAACACTCATTTCAATGGACCCGGTAAAGGGTTGAACGTTGACGATTCGTTAGGTATACTAAGAATCTAATGGAGATAAATTGATGACGAAGATAGGACATGTTATTCCTTATATGCTAAAAGAGTTATTACATTGTACTTCGATAAATGTCTACTCAAGAAATTTGTGACCATAGTAAGAGTACACCAATAGAGTATGGTTAGTTTACTCTAAAAGCTAAGACATTTGAGAATCGAAGAAAACTTATGTGATCATAATCTAACGGACTAATAACCAAGTTCGAGATTACCTTGTGATAAATTGACATGAGGACGGAATTGGTTAATAACCATGCTCATGAAAGGTAATTGTGGATTAATTAATCCTCTTAGAGAATTTGATAGTCATGATGTCTTACTATAGACCAATCTTGATTTACGTATTAAGAGATAAAAGAGGTGTCTTTTATTCTTAATACATTGCTAATATATATCTAGAAGCCTATTAAGTCATATGTATAAGTTTAAGCATTCACATAATAAAAGAGAAGCAAAATTTTTGAAAAAGGTTTCCAAGTTTTGAAATTTTCTTATTTTGAAAAAAATTTCCAAAAATGAAAAAGTTTCCTAAAATAGAAGTTTTCTAAAATGAAAAGTTTCCTAATTTGAAATTCGAGTTCCAAATTTAGAAGTTAGTTGCTTAAAAAGGAAATTAGTTTTCTAATTTAAGTTTAAGGGTAATTTGAAAAATCGTTTTCTAATGTAGGTCTCCTAAAAATATCTAACCTAATTTATTTGGATAATTCAAATTAATTAGTAATTAATTGGGTCAAAAGAGTTTTGGCCAATAGGTTTAATTTAAAAGCCTACAAGAAATTTTGGTGGGAGGATAAACATGAACCTTCTTGGATAAGGATCAAGGTTTAAAAAGATAAGATTAAAAAAGGTCATTTGCATTACAACTCCTAATTCTTGTAGGATTAGAAAGCGACAACCTAAAGTTCTTTTTGGAACTTAATGTTGCCACTTTCTTATCCTTGAAGGACAAGAAAGACACTCCCCTATAAATCGAAAGGGGGTGCTACAAAGAGAAAAAAAAGTGCTAAGGCATACACGACTTCAAGTAAAAATAAGAAAAAAAAATAGTTTTCTCTTTCCTTACATATGTCACCTCTTTCCTTGTCTCTTAAGGTTGTCACAAAATATCCCTGAATAGATTTTTTAAGAGAACATTAAACAAGTCAAAAAAAGATAGAGCTAGCACTCTACGACTTCTAAGTGCTTGTTGTGTGGGTGCTTAGATTACGTGTATTATCGATAGAGGTTAGACACTTAGATGGTTTATTTTCTACAAAGGTTAAAGTCTACGCTACAAGAGGTAATCCTTTACTCACGATTTGATTCATGTATATATGATTAGTTGATTCAACGACTTGATCTTGAGAGCTTTAGATGGAAGAAATTTTTTTTTTATTTTATTCCGCATCTCTATAGGATGCATGATTCCTTCGACACACTAGTGTATTGATCTATATAATCTATTACTAGTTAAGAATTTAAGTCCGTAATTACTTGTCTAATCTTACTTATGATAGTAACTAGGGATTAATGATTATGGACGGAGTTTTCGTTCAATTCCTTGAAGAATATAAGACTAGATTAAATCCTCCTAACTTATGGAAGAATTGTTTAGCTTCACCTATCTTTCTATTACTTAATGTCATTATTGGATTAAATCTACATGGCTCATTTTAGGTTATTCGATAGTTAGAGATTAATTAAATAACTTATTTTAATTAACAAATCTCTATGGAAAGATTGAGAATAACATAGCTTCTTGTTGTTCTACGGTGAATATTCATTAAAAAAAAATGGATTAATATTTGAATCAATGATCAACAATTGAACCAAAAGTGGAGACTATCCTTTGACCAAGGCTTCTAATACTCTTGTTTACCTCTTTGTTTAATTTTGATTATCTTTATTATTCTTTACAAACAAAAACCCCCCTTTCCCTTTTTTTGTACTTTAGAATAATCGGAAAACGAGAGAAAATTGATTGAATCAATTCTCCATGGGATCGATCCTTACTTACCACTAGCTACGGTTCTATAATTAGGCCTAATGAGGAAAATAAATATATAATTTTGTAACGGTACGACATCTACCATGGATTCGTCAATGGAATTATCATAAAATTATAGGAGTTGATCTATGATTAAGGCTTGTATATTTTTTCTTATCTATAAATCGGTTTGTGTATATATACACCCATGTACATTTAGTCACCTAATGCAAAATACAAATATTTCTTCTCATTATGTGTCATTTACTATATAGAATAATAATTAAAAATTATAATTTAATCAACTATGATAGTAGTAAAAATAATAGAGATGAATGAAGTGATAGTGGTAAGGTGGTGGTTGTAGAGATGGAGGTAAAAATTATGAAAAAAAAAATGGTGGAATAATAATAATAACTTTTAATACCACCTAAAAGGAAAAGTGTGAGAAGAGTGATCATGGTGGTTGTATAATGAAAATAACTTTGGTAGTGATAAAATAGTGACATAATAATAATAATAATAATAATAATTTATTTTTAATTCATTTTCTATCTTCATTACCAATAGTGGTAGTAGTAGTGTTATTGGCGAGAGATAACAATGATGATAGAAATAGTTAATATATAATATATAAAATAATGCATTACTATTTTCAAGGGAAAAAGAAAATCTTATTTTCATTTTTTATTTTTATTCTCATCTGTCCCCTAAGAACTATAATTAATTTTCATTTTTATTTTTAATTTTATTTCATTTATTTCAATCGAACACCTACAAAGTAAAACTAAAATTCTTATTTTTATTTCTACCATTTCATTTTTCATTCCCAGACAAGACTTTAGGGAGTTTAGGGTATTCTTGATTAGGTTTCGTACGTTGAAACTACATCCCATCTTGGTTGAGATCTTAACTTTATAAGCTTGGGAGCCGTGAACCTCATTTAAGGGATTTAATTTCTTTGGACGTAAAAGGAAAATCGTAACAGAAAAGGTTCATAGGTCAACCCATTATGTTGTGCAGGATCTTTACCGTTTTGGTAAATTTAGTGAGTGGATCCATGTCTCACTTAGGACTGCAAACAACAAGGTTCAATCTGAACTAACACTTCTTTACTAAAGGAGCCAAGTAACAAATTTCTCAGTCCAGCATCAGTTCGTTTAATGAAAACTTAAAGCTCAGGTTTAATCCAACTAACTGCATGACCAAGAAAGAACATTCCTAATGAGCATATAATTACTCTTCATACACAAGTTGTTGCATCAGCTCTTGCCAGGTGAACTAGGTCAAATAAATCAAAAGTAATTTGGCAATTCCAATGTATCGCTTATGGTCCTCTGGAAGTTTTACAGGGCCTTGCCCAAGAATTCCAAACTAAGTTGCAACTATGTAAGGAGTCGAAATTTGTTCCCACAATACCAAAATATACATATCGAACAAAAGCCCTTGCACTGCAACCTTTCTATCAGGGACGCAGGCTTGGTAAGAAGTTCAGCACATATGTAAATTTCAATGACATCGAAAAAGAAAGAAATCAAATAGTCTGAAACATTCATTTTCAGCCAAATAAAGAAATACTGTGGACAATTGATCGATCAGGGAAATTAAAGTAACAGCAAAGCAATGTCACAAGAGTCACAACACACCAACTAGAGAAACAAAAGGTCATTAAACAGATCAACATGATATCAAATGAATAACCACTTAAGATACCTCAATAACAAGATTGGATATCATCATCTCTAACTTCTCAATATTGTCCACGTAATTGGTCAGTCCAAGGTTGGTACCATTCCAATTGACAAAACTTCTACTCCACTCCTCGATGAGAACAAATACATTTTGGTGACAGCTAACATCATGTCTAATTCGATTTTACTGAGCAGTACCTTTACACAATGCTGGAGAGTCAAGAATCTAACAACAAGAAGGCAGAGATTCTGGAAATCCTAAGTTGTAGGAGCCAACTGCCTCAGCTTCGCCTGTAAGATTGCCCCTGCTTCATCTGCTACAGTCTTCTTTTTAGTTGCAAGCTGCAATTTAAGCATTTCAAATTTAGCATTCCCATCACTGAAAGACTAGGAAGCAGCGAAAATAATATCAAACCAAGAAAAAGATTGAAGACTCAATTTCCAAGAAAGAAAAGGAAGAGCATTTTAAACTCCTCGATTAGGATTATAGTGTTTAACTTGATGGACTACTTTCTTCCCAACATAATTCTTTTGACACAAGGGATTGATGAAAATCGAAACTTTCTTCAAGCATGGTCCTAAATAGGAAACGCTCCCAGCTCTCCAATCTTATGCGAAATGCAACAGTTACCAAATGCTGGCAAGGTTCATTGTCAGAAAACCAGTATACGAGACGGTTAGAATTCGTTCTAATTCAAATCACATGATTGCGGAACAATCCTTCAAAATTGCTGTAATTCTTGTATGTTGGGACATGAACGAACATCATCAAAGGGACATGAAGAATACTGGTGAAACCAGGAGTAGAATGATGCCCTGAATATGAAAATGGATTTCACCTAACAAAAAAGTCAGGAAAAGACTGTGACAGACTATTAACATTGCGTGGTTCAATCTACAGTTATGAGGCACTAACATACTAATCATTTAAGCATCCGATCAAACTGCCAAAAAACAGTCGCTTTTGAAATACTATAGCACTCCCCAAACACACAAAGCATCAAAAGAACAGGTTTAAAGTAACCAAACTAAGTGCCCTGTGCTAAGATTTCCAAATGCAATCAATTCCTCAACATCATGAACAAAAAGATTGACTGAAAACATACCTCAATAAGCTGATCAAAGTTAGATTTCAACAAGTTAATCTTGCGCTCACAATAATCTCTCCCTTCATTCATTGTTTTCTATTATCAAAACAAACAAGCAATCAATCACTCAAGATAAAACAATCCATTCCAAACCTAAACTAATACAATTTTTTTTTTTAAGAAAAAAAAGCAACAAAATTTAACCAACCAACCTCAACAAAGTATCCGGTGCCAATATCAACAAGAACTTTATCAGCATCATCAAGTGTACCCGGTACATAAAGTGAAGCAGTTAATGGCACCAACATCTTCTTTCCTAATTTTCACAAAAACACACAAACAAATCATAAAGATTCAATCTTCGACCGTTAAGACAAGCAAAGCAACCAAAAAAAAAAATCAAAACTTCAACGAGAAAGAAATAAAGGGTTTACCTTGAGGACGGAAAGAGAGGTCATGAAGTGAAGAGGCGGCGTTTTCAAGACGACCAGTGGCTGTTTTAATGTTGTTAAGGCTGTCTTGTAAGAGATTGACTTCAAGATCTGTTTGTTCTTTTATTGCTTTTAGTTGTTCTATACTCATTTTCTCCATATCTGATGCTCTCACTGCCGCCGCCGCTGGACTGGTGGCTACTCCTCCTCCTTTTGATGATGCCATGGTGGTTTTTGTTGCCTTCTACGTTTCTCTTGTTTGCTCCCACTTTATTACTCGTCTTTGGCCCCAGTTTGATGGTACAAGTCAACAATTCGACCTTTTTCAAATTACATCAGGTGCCCCTATAGCTCAGTTGTAGAGCGTCAGTCTTGTAAACTGAAGGTCTGTAGTTCGATCCTGCATGGGGGCAAAATATTTTACTTTTAAAGTCCGTTTTCGATAATAGAATAAAAATATATGTATATTATTAAATTATGTAGTGAAAAAAAATTCTTAATTAGCTTAAATAAATTTTTAATTTTGAAAAATTATAATCAATTAATTGAAAGTACACATGTCCCATAAATCAAATTAAAAATAGATGGTTTTTTTTTTTTTTTTTTTTCCATGCAGTGAAAACAAGCCATGCAACAATGATAGTGTAATAAGAATAGATGTGGCCATTTCTACTTACTATTTCTTTGTTCGGCCTTAGGAGTTACAGGCCTCGGCCCACGGATTGGAGTATTTATAGCCTATGGGCTTAATTCACAAAACTTGCACAAACTCCGATCACCATAAGTATACAGACAGACAGACAAAGTAAATGGAATACGTAAGTATATCCTGTGGCCGGAAGCTCATGATGGACCAGACTTGTTATAGTAATTGTTTTTCAAATTTGATGAAAGGAAATCCATTTGGGATTTGTTTATTGACCCATGACTCTTGAAATGAAGTTTAGAATTCTGGCTCTCTCACTCTTGTATTCAAGCTACTGATGTCATAAGCATATTAATATTATGTCTAGCATGGATTGCAAAAACCATCTCAACAAAGAAGAAAATGGGATGAAACTGTCACCTTCCAGTTATTTATTTATTTATTTATTCCATAATCATGCTCATTAGTGATAAGAGATTAAGCAACATTGTTCATTCTTAACTGTTTTCTGTACAAGGGTCTCTATAAGCATCATTTATTGGTTCTGTACGTGGCACTCTGCCACCATGTCCTCGAAAATCATTCATCATCTGACTGGTGGGTTAAGATGGTTGGTGATTCTTGGAGAACCATTTAGGGGAGCCACTTTCTGGTTAAGCATCGGACTATCTTTGTCTCAAACCAAACATTGAAAAACAGAAGAAGCATCAACCAAAATAAAGGCCCGGGCCTAAAGAGAGAACCCATCTTTGAAGGGACGGTACCACAACACGTCCAAAAACATTATTTAGCATTTGGAAAGGGATTGTGTGAGTTCTGTAGCTAAAACGACCCATGATCACACCATTCATTGGGTTCATATGCAGCCAATTAGCAATGGGCACAAACCCATGAATGAATGAACAAACGTCTAAGTCTTGCTCGAGGCATCTAACAAGGAGATTTTTTTTTTTTCCTGTCAATTGAACCTACTCCAATTAATTAATTAAAGTTTGAGCTGGTTCAATGTGGCAGGATCATACCAATTTTCTCCAAACATTAAATACGTAGGACCCGATCAATTATTAGCATATCTTATCATTTTAAACCTTTTTGGTTTTGCACTAATCCAAAACAGCTAAGTACAAACACTGACATGACCCGAGGATCTTGATCAGTCCCACTTTTCAAAATCTACACTATTCCTTCTAATTAGTTTGTTGGATCTACTAATCATGATTTATTCTCCCCTTTTGTCCTCAAAGGCAACAACACTTAGTTCGATAAAGATCATCCTGGTTATCCCTTATCTTCAAATATTGATTGAAACACACAACCAGAACCACTACTTCAAAACCAGCCATGGAATCCTTAGAAGCTGAAACTAAATCACAGAGAACATCAACTTAAAATAAAATAATGGCCAAAAGGATTTGGCAAATAAGAGATGCCATATATATATATATATTCATGACTGGAAAATGCAGGTGGTTTGTTCTGGCAGACCTCAAATAAATGGAGGAACATGGGATCCATTAATCAGGCATGTCACTCACACTACAACACACCATTGAACCCATAATCCCAGACACTCAACTTCCAACCGCTCTTTGTCAACAATGCTTGATATGACGCGCACCAAACAGAAATACATCTGCTGAACTACTACCAGTTTTCATTAAGATACAAGAAAAAAGATAAAATGTAATTGATACAAGAGAAAGAAGAGCCTAAGAAGACTTGGTTTGATAGTATCAGACACAACACAGATGATGACTTGAACAGAAAATGAAATCGGTGAAGGAAACCTGGATGCCAAGCGAAATAAACCAGTTTATAACATGAAAACGATATTATATGACCTGTACACAACGTAAACCAACAGTTGACAAACACAACTTGCTAACATGAATTGCCCACCTGCTCATTTATTAGCATATGGGGGCAGCTCACTTCTTTCACAATAACTTCTCAAAGTTACGAACGTTAATCACTTAAAAGAACTCCACGAATCCTTGGATGGAAGGATATATCAGGTAGGAAAAAAGAAATGACCCGAGAAAGTCAAAGCAAGCAATGCGGATTATAATTATTGATAGCATACTAAGTTGATATACACATGGAGCAAAAGGCAATGGCAGACAAGGGGGAGTGAGGACCAAATTGAATTGAGAGAAACAATTGGGTTTCTTATTCACACAACAGTCACCCGAAAAACAATCCACTTACATACATGGATGGAACACACATTATTATCACACTAATTAATCTGAGAAATGGTGGCTAAGAATAATACTGATAAAAGTTTCAAAACAGAGGTCTTACAAAGAGGCACCAGAGTTTTTTCCCAGACACAGCAGTCTCCTTTGAGATCAGTACACCAACACATACCCTGAGAGTGGAAGAGAGCGAGAAACTGTTTGCAATCACCGTGGCTGGCAAACCATAAGCTACGCACCAAAAGCACCACCACCTTTTTCATCTCACCATAACAAATATTAACCCTTTATCAACCGTTGGAGCAAAGCGAAATTCAACAAATTTGGGGAGACTAGAAGTCCAAAATCACACGGCATCGTCAGATTAAACATAAAGCAAGCGGTACATGGAAAACTCCACTTTTCCATTGTATTGATATGCAAGATATATGCACCCAAGTACGGAGACATAACATAACAATGCTTGAAACCCACATTTGCAAGCATCGTGTCACACCACGGAAAAGAAACCGACATGGTTTCCAAAATAGGAAGAACTCTCAAACTTCTCAAATGAGGCAACCTTCGACAAGTTCTTCCCAAAACAAGAAAACAGAGCCTGATATAGATTAGCACCAGTTTCCCCGAATCCATTAATAAAAAAAACACCTTTGCGAATTCAGCCACAGATTTTGAATCATAAAACCATAATTCTTCACTCCCATCCTCCTCCATCAAAACCCCCCAAAACCTAAACAATTTGAACCCTAAAAGAACATAATTAATCTCCAAACAAACTTACTACAAAGAACCTCTAATTAAATTCATTCATTCATTACTTAAATTCTCCGAAATCCTAAACCCTAAACCTAAGTTTCACTAAAATTCTCCTCATCCATCTTCACACACAAGCAGGAAAAAAAAAAAAAACACAAATTTAACTTAACAACATACTCATAATATATACCATACAACACCAACGCCATCAAGATCCTTTTTTTTCCACCTTCAACGCTGATCATCCTCTCTCCGTCCTGAACTCCCAGGCCCACTCGACAATGAAGCTAACAAATTCAAATGACCAGGTAGATAATTCCCCACTCTAGCAGCCGACGCTTCTCCCATAGCAGCAGCAGCCGCCGCAGCATGCTGCTGGTGCATAAACAGCGAAGACTGTTGCACCGCCGTTGGCTGCACAACCATTTCCGGCGGTCCAGCAGCGGCAAACCCCCAAAAATCCGGCCTTGCAGGCAAAGCCCAGAACCCACCAGGCCCGGCTGCTGCTGTTGCTGTGGACCCCATTAACGACCCAATAGTGGCGCCCACAGAAACCCCACCATCATCCTTCCCACCACCATTACCATCCTCCTCCGGCCGCATCCTTTTTCCTAGAATAAACGGAGCAGGCCCTAACAAAGGCTTGTGCTCCAAAGAACCTACAGAATGAACATTATTGCTCGAAAGCGAAGATATAGAATTTGAATTCCCACCAGCACGAACCGAAACAGAAACAGTAGAAAAACTAGCAGGAGTAGTTCCAGTCCCAGTAGCAGCAATAATCGAAGGCTCAGCTTGACGAAGAAGCCATTCAATAGTTTGTCCGTCAGACTTATGACCCAATTCACGAGTCAACTGAAAAACTCTAGCAGCACAAATGATCGGCATCCGAATCCTTCTTCCACGACCATCAACCTTGCTATGACGGTCTTTAGATGGTGGTTTTTTAACAACTAAAGCTCCATTAGTAACTCCTCCCCCTCCACCTCCTCCTGGAGGCTGGTTTCTTTGGGGGTCTATCAAAGTACCGTTATTGACAGCAGCGCTGTTGTCTGACATGGTGAGAAAGAGTTAGGAAAGCAAAAAGGGCAAAAAATGGAGGGTTTTTAGAGAGAGAACGGAGGGATTTTGTGGGTTTTTTAGAGAGGGAGAAAGAGAGGGATTTTGGACGAGGGAAAGAGGAGAAGGAGAGCTAATCATTGAGCGGCAGGAGCTGGTGGAGACAGGAGGAGGGCACATGGGTGGTGGGGTCCAGTTACATACAAATACACACAACCTCCACAGCTCACACCCTCTCCCCCTTTGGTTTCTTTCTATTGTGCTGTGTTTGTCTGGTTGGGAGAGGGAAGTGGGTGGGATTTTTATGAAACAAAAATCAAAGCAAAATAAATAATGCCAATTTTATAAAGAACATGGAGCTATGCTAAGCTGGAATTCCAAGTGATCATTTACACGCTTATATATATATATATATATATATATATATATATATATATATATATATATTAAATCTAAGCAAATGCAAAGTATGAATAATGCCAATTTTCAACCGATATAATTATGATATTTTTATTATGTATATGATTTACGAAATGCAAAATCATGGTAGTGATTAATTTTAATTATGCGTGCTAGTCAAGATATTTAATGCAAACATAAATGAGAGAAATCGCAAAGTCCACTTTCTCTCAAAAATATTTGCAGCACTGCTTGGAGGTAAATATGAAACCGAAAAAGGATAAATTTAAGCAAAAAATTATCAACACAACACCTCTTTTTATCTCTCTCCATAAACACAGTAGTAAATAAAAAAGGTGAAGATCTTTGCTTGCATTACTACAGCTTCATCCACCTTATACTTTGTTTTTGCAAACTGGTTGGGAGACAATCCACCGATCCATTTCCTTTCTTTCCTCTCTTATTCTATTTACCCAAACAATCCTTACACTTCTTTCAAATGAAGAGGGTAAAGCCCACGCGCGAAACAGTAAGGTCCCAAATCTAGCAGGGGAATTTAAGTGGAGGGTATTTCAAATTGGGACCCACTCTTTTTAATTGTTTTTCTTTTTTCCGTACTTTTTTATTTTTATCTTTTGAATTTGAAGGTTCCAGCTACGTGCTGTTAACTTCTCATTATCCATTCGTATTTTGCCACGTCATCGAAAAATGCAAAATAATAATAAAATTGAAACTCAAGATTTAATGGGATTGGGGGGTATTGTTTGGTGGTGTATCACTATAGTTGTACTACATTATTTGCAAATTTGATAGCGGAGGAGGAGGAGGAGGAGGAGGAGGATGATGTTCTTTCATGGTAAAGATGGAGATGAAAATAGTAGAGTAGGTCTCCTTTGCTATAAAATGATCCTACAACTTTCCTTTTAGTAGCTTATGTGATTGTGCCTAAAATAGGGCGTGTCATGTTAGTTCCCTTTGTTGGGATTAAACCAACCAATGTTGTGGTCCATCTCATCTCTCATCTTCTTACAAATCTTAAATCAATACTTTAAGTTTGGGACCATTTCATTTTTTTTACTTGGAAATTATTCACTCTTAAAAATTATATTGTCATGTATCAAGACTTATGCTTTTTTAAAAAAAAATTTAACATTTTTACAGCTCCCATGATTTCAAATCCATAAACATTGAAATTTCCAAAAAAAAAATATATATATCATAAGTAAGAATGTTAAAGATTTAACCGTAACTAACTAAAGTAAAAATAGAAGTGGAACATTTAAACCGAAATGTGATCCAAAATTAATTAACTTGTGTTCCAAATTAGACAAAATTATATATGATTTGGCAATACCATTAAAAATAAAAGAACTAAAAAATAAATCATTAATCTCCAAAGCGCTAAAAAGGCCAAAAAAAAAAAAAAAAAAGAATTTAATATTATATTAAGCAATTGATATCACAATTCGCATCCTAAAAATAGAATAAGACCCACAAACAACAACGTGGCATTATAAAAAGCAAAAGAAAACAATAAAACAGCAAAACGTGATACGCGCTGGAGCGTGTACCACGCTCTAAAAATGGTCGCGTGAGACTAGTCTGTCTTTGCTTTAATGAATCAGTCAGTGAGTTAGTCAGTGTTTGGAAATGACACCTGGCAACCTCCTTATTTACTATTCTGCCATCAAGCCTATCATTTTGCTGAGAGTGATTCTGAACCCTTAGATTTAAATCTGACGGGTCATTATTTGTGGTTGTAGGTTAGTGATGTAAGTCCATGTTGTAGCTTATTGGTTTTCTACAGAGAAACCCTTCATTTTATTGTCACAATGTCCAAATTACCCATTTCCCTATTGCATAAACGGAAGTCATGAACAAGACAATATTGTCTTTTGCAGTCAATTTTTGAAATTTTGATTTTTTTTTTTTTCAATTTGTGATTATTGTTTAAAGAATAGATGGCATGAGATTCTTAGTTTCTTACAATTCGCAGGGCTAAAACCTGCTTTGTCTTTTTATAAAACCTCTATTGTCTTCTGTCTTTTTTTTTTTTTTTTTTTTTTTCTATTAGTATAATGCAAAAAAATCAGACAATTTGTCGAGGATTGATCCATATGCTTTCAATCAGTTTTTAGGATGGGGTCAGAGAAATTTTTAATCTTTTTTCTTTTCTAGAAAAAAAAAAGAAAAAAAAAGAAAAGAAAACAAAGAAGTCAGACATATTGCTCCAAACTCTGTATAGAATGCATAGAATATGTTGTGTATATATTTGAAGAAATTGTTATTGTATTTATATCCTAATCGAAATTTAGTTTTAGAATTTTTTTTTTTTTACATAGAATGATAAAACATGAAATTACTAGCACTCTGATAAATTCATTTTCAAAATACTCAAAATCGTGTATTAGATAATACTTATTAGATATGTTTAAAAAAAAATTAATTTTGAAATGAGTAAAAACCAATTTGAAGAAATTTTTATTGTTAAACCTAAAATTAAACTAATAAGAAATTATATCACTATAACTGAGAATCAAACTTGTTAACGAAATATTTTATCACGAGCCAACCCTTGATTGGTTATAAAATTTGTTGACTAATAAGGAGCAAAGTTAACTAGATGTGAGGATTTTTATGATTAAGTAATAAAAACATCTTTCGGAGATAGGTGCATTGGTTCCATACATTATTATTATTCAGGATAAAGAGATTTATTATAAAATTTTATCAGTTTCTTAATGTTTTATTTAAAATATGACTGATAAATAATTTAGTCTCGTTACTGGAATTCTAGGTAAAAGATGCTTTTAACGGCTAAAACACAGTAAAGTGAAGAGAACAGTAGAAGGCAACTCCTGTGTCTTTAAAAGTGGTCCTTATGCCAAATCCAATGACCAGCAAACAAAACCACTACCCCATCATCCCCTTAACACTTCCAATAACTTAGATTTAGATGTATCCATTAAAGGGTTGATTAAGAGATCAATATTTTTTTAGGATTCCCTTGTGATAGAATGAGGGTGTACTTTCTAGAAGAAAAGTGAGGTAGATAATTAATTGTACAAAGTTTTCCCTTATTAATTATTCATTTTTTCTCTTTTTTTATTTATATCTGCTTTAAAATATTTATAAATCAAAATTTTAAATAGTGTAATCCTTTTTTTTTTTTTTTTTTTAAATACTATCTTGGAAGGAGGATGGTTGATTATAGAAGGAGTATCTTGGAATAATGATTTTACCATGTTGCTCAATAGGAAATAGTAGAGGGACTTCTAAAAATGTGGCTAATGCCTTGGGCTCCTCTAGGCATGTTAAACCTTATACATGCTAGGATGGATGTTGACCCCTCTAAAAGCACTGTGATCACCTCCATTGCAAGACTAGCAGCCTGGGTTTTCCATTTGTTGAAAAGGGTTGATTAACACTTGAAATCATGTAGCATGTCGGAGCCGGAATGACTTGGAAAATGTAACTTCTTCTGTCACCAACAAGGCAGAATGATTTATCTAATTCGTTGCACCAAATTGAAAAGGAAATCTCTTAACCTAAGCATTTTTAAATCGTTCAAAAGGATGGGTCCAAAGCTTTTGCTATCTATCTATATTTAGGTGTGACGAACAAATCATTATGGGTTGTACAAAATAATCTAAAAATCTTAGAATTGATTTGTTGATAACTCATGGGGTCATGGTCTCATAGGCCTAAATGCTCAAATTAAGCCAAAATTTTCCATAACAATTATTTGTTTTTAAAATTAACAAAATACTAAATCTGGACTTACTGCATGTGTTATACATAGATATTTGGAAAAATCTACTAAATTTATATCAAAATTTGAAATTTAAAATACATACTGAATCGCATTAAAATCGAAATTTATGATATTTTAATAATTGGAAATAAAATAAGTAGAATTGTTGGTTGATTCATAGTCCATTCAATCATATCTGACCCTATAACTAAGAAACATGTCTTGGACTTGTGAATCTAAATTAAAATAAACCTAATACAATTTTTTTTTCTTATTTTCTGTTCTGTTTTCCTATGAGTTGGGTGGGGGTCTACCATACATAGGACACGCACAAATAAGAATGGCACATTACACGAAAGTGCAACATTGTCTGCAAACAATTAGCTACTTTAACTATCTTTTGAGTCCAAATCGATGACCCCATTACCTTATTAGTACACCATTTTTGCAACAAAAATTCCTTACATTACCTCGTCTTAGTTTCATGGACCACCTATAACTAAACTAGTTAAGATTATGTCAAAATTGTACCAATTAAATAATCAATTACCACAATTCAGTGGTTTTCGCCTTAAATTAATGACATCACATTCATTGATTAGTGTTAGTGATTAATCAATAAAAATTGATTATCTCTTTCTTTTTTTATATATTTTTTCTTTGACCTTATGATGGTCGTCATCGATTGCTGGGCCCAGGTAACGCGGTTTCTCATGACATAATCATAAAAAATTTTGGGTTTGAATAGGAAAAGTTTATAGGCACACGAGGGTATATATTCCGTATCTTGATTGCGGGTTTTTCGGCCTCCTTTGATTACTTAATTATCAACTATTTATATTGATCTATGTCTTTCTTCGTTTCTTTTTGCCTAACCATTACAATACAATAATGCCCTTTTTTCTTTTCTGGTAAAAGTAAAAGAGGTGAAAAGAAGGCAGTAATACTAAAATTTTGCAAGTATTTTCACATATTACACACTTAATTTAAAAAGATTCGTTTGATATTTTTTTTTTAAAAAAATTCAAAACTCGGATTTACAAAAATTTATTCATGAAAAACTAAAAAAAAAAATGCATTTTAAGTACAAAATCTCAAAATAAAATACTTACACAGGCATTGTTTGGTTTGCCTTCAAAATATTAAATGAAAAGAACATAAAAAAAAAATTAAATGATGACCATTGTTTCCTAACCTAGAGAATTCGGAAAATAAATTTTTAGAAAGCTATAAAAATAGAAAACATTTTTTTTTCAAGAAGACAGTTTTTTATTTTCAATTAGCGAATGCAACAAGTCAACAACATAAATTTTGGAAAAATTTCTAATTTCTATATATATATATATTTTTTGAAAGATTGATAAAATATTTCATAAGTAAACAACACGTTTAAGTGCACATAGAAATGTGAATTTAATTAGTCCTGAATTCTTGATGCATGATAGCTTTTAAAAAAAAAAAAGGAGATCATTTATTTTATATTTTAAAGCTGTATAATCATAAGCTCTCTTTAGCTAAATATTCTATCTCTTTTATTTTTTATTTTTCCAAAATTGAGGGGCCATATACGCTAATTTTTTACACCAAAATGATAGAACATTCTTTGGCGAGCCCATTATTATAATTCATCATGATCATATTATTATATGGTAGCAATTGTAATAAAATTATAACAATTGGACCCTAAAAACAATAGGCTTATTTATATATTTATACTATTCCTCGGATTGTGTTTTGCTTTGTTTAAGTCTGGCCATGGCCCTTCCCAAAGGTTCCGTTCAAAACTGATTACGTGATGGATTTGGCGTTATTTCTTTATAATTTAATGTATTTTTATGCCCTTCTTATATATTAGTTGTTAAGCCAAAAACAGGATTCAATTCTATAATAATTATTTATAATTATTTTTTAGTAGTATCAGATTTAATTTCATTTGATTTAAGAATTAGTAATCAATCAAAATTTAATTAAGTGTGCTCTATTATTCGTTTAGTTTAAAAGTTGTGTATAGTGTATTATGTCATTGAATTAATTTAAAAAGCTATATATTTAATTTTGGTTGGTGCGAAAATTAAATTATATATATATATATATATATATATATATATATATATAAAGCAAGAAGGAGCGAAGTAAATGACAAGTGTTCAAAACATACAAAACCGTGCGTTTTTTTTCACTAAGATGCTATATCCTCTCTATTCATGGAGACACAAGTCCATATTAGTGTTGGATAATTAACTAGTCATAAATGCTAATTAGGACTTAGTTATCAGAATCCTCAATTCGTCAATTAAAGCACTTGTTCTTATAGAAAATGATACAGATATAATTAGATTATTTTTATCTATATGATCAGTACGTACGTAGCCCCGGCCCTATTCATTTAGTGATAAAATATTGTATGATTGGCTAGATAAGTAATTCTTGAATTATTTATTTATAACAATTGCAAATGAATGAATATGTATTTTATTTTTTGGTTGTGAATCTCAAATTATCCATCTTGCTCCTGAATTTAATGTTCGGAGCATCAAGTGTTCGGTTGTTAATCACGAATGAGCTGTATCTTGTCTGTCATTAATTTCAAGTCCTTCGGTGACTTAGGTTTCAAGCTATCCGTTTGCTTGAGCATCATCTTCTTCTTGCTTGCTTTTTTTTTGGCCCCGACATGTATTTGTCAGACTTAAACATCATAAGTAAGCCATCTTGATATTCTAGCCTTCCTTGGTGACTTGAAAGTGCTATCTAGTAGTTGGATGGTTGAACCCAATCATTACCGGTTCAGCGTGTGTGTATATATATATATATCCAACCATGCATGAATGTGCTACATAATAGCTCATCTTCCAAAATTTACTTAGGGTCGCCTACGAGATCGTGCGCAGGGAAACCTTGTGCCGCATCTTAGAAGCTAATGTTGATAGCTCGGTTTTCTTTTATTAGCCATCTTGCCACTTATTCCAAGGCCGAGCTATCTTGTACGTAACTCGGTCTTCTCTTTGTCAGTCATCACGTCACTTTACCATGCTATCTTGGCGATCTGGTGGCATTACTTATTATTGATCTCTGTTATCTTGCAGTGCCAGTTCTCTCTTTTATGACTCAAATCTCTCTCTCTCTCTCTCTCTCTCTCTCGCGCGCGCAAACACAGTCCGAGCTGCTCAGGTTCGAACACACACATATATGTTAGATTATAGAAAACTTATATAACATTTTTTTTATTTATTTAAAAAGTACATTATTAATTTTGACCAAAATTAATTTCAATAATAAATATTTTTTTTATATGAACAAAACTCAATGAATCATGGACCTGATTTATGGTCATCTTGGTTTTATGTATCTAGCCAAGGTTGCGTAATTCCAGTGACTTGAATGAAGCTGGTTAATTCCACCATAGCTTTAATTGCGCTATGATCTCCATAGATGGTGCCAAACTGTTAAAAATAGAAAACAATCAGGATACAAAATCAGATTATTAAAGAGGATAAATCTTTAAGGAAGGCTATGAGCTTAATTGTCTTTTAGAGCAATAAACGTGCATGTTTTCAATAATAAGCTACATCTTCTCTGTCTATAAATATTTTTATCCACATCATTTTTTTCTTTTTACACGACAAAGGTTTGAATTTTATGTTTCTTGGACGAGGAGAGCACGAGAGCGGTTGAGCCACGAGGCTCTTTGATACATGGTAACTCAATTTTAGATGCGAGTAAATATTTATGATATTAGATTCTAAAATCCAATGATGATCACCAACCCTAAATTAATTTATCTCCCCCATATAACCTAACTAATCAACTAATGACAAAAAAGAAAAAGGACAATATCATCAACTTTATATCCAAATTCAAATAGTATATCGATGATCTGACTGCATTTTAATCCTGAAGTATGAGTTACATAAGTGGATGATATCAAACTAGAGGGACCAAATTGGAATAGAGGTCATAGTTCAAAACAAGCAGAGGATGCATGCAATTCACTTTAATATAAAAAATTTAACATAAAAAACTGTTAGGAATAATAGGTCCCAGATGATTTTGTACATAGGAACCACACAAGTGGATCCTATCAATACCCAAAAAGACAAAAAAAAAAAAAAAACTATTGTAGATAATATAATAAGTTGTGATGGAATTGGAGACATATTTGGAGCCATAAAATTGTCAACATAACAAACAGCTAGAGGCCCACCTCACCTGTTTTTGGAGTTATTGACGAAAGGGACTACAAAGGATATGATCATTTCGAATACAAATGCCAGCAGATTTACTTGTTTTTGAACAACAAATAACAATGAGACACATCACTTCCATAATTCTAGCTTAATCATTTGAGCCATATCAACATGCCACCTTATTTTCGCCAAGTTTTGACAGCTTTCCCTAATCTATCCATTCAGCTTGCCTCGTGACTTATGCCCCCAAAAAAATGGGAGTAACGCATACTTCGTTTATTGAGATTAAAAAAAAAAAAGAAAGAAAAGAAAAGGAAGTAATAGTATTAGATAAGAAAAAAGAGCACTAGATACAGCAATGCCTACAAAGATTATATGCTCAAGGCGCTAAAAAACCTACCAAAGATTAAAGTACTATTCGAGAAGATAAGAGAAAACCAGATACAGCAACAGCACCAAGACAGAAGCAATAAATGCTCAAGGAACTCAAAAAAACCTAGCCAAGGCTTCATTTTTCAAATCTTGGACATGTGTTTATATGCACAAGCATGAATGAATGCTTATTGAGGACTTGCGCTATCGCATTCTCGCAAAGGAGAGATGGTAAGACTCAAGTTCAAATCTTGGCACGTAAATATAAGAGTGGCTAAATATTTTTCATTTTATCACCATTGAACGCATCCAACAAGTTCCTCAAAAAGTGAACTATAGGCATCCAAGACTAACTTGGAAATATTGAACAACTGGTAACCTAGTATTGGCAAATATCAACATAATTGAAACATCATTGTTATACAAGAAAAGGCATATGCCTAAGGCAGAAAGCCTTCATGTCAAAGGTTACAAAATCCCTCTCAGTAGAGTTAACAAACTCATCTGTGAGTGTGAGTGTGAGTGTGAGTGTGTGTGTGTGTGTGTGTGTGAGAGAGAGAGAGAGAGAGAGATAGAGAGAGAGGGAGAGAGAGAGAGAGATTGCACGATCGACTCAGCATGTCAAGATTCACTAGGAAGAACATTGACAAAATGATAAACCTCATCTTCATCAATGACACCAACTTCCGTTGAGCAAACTGAGCAGCATACTGCCTTGAATGTTTCACCATCAGCAGGATTTGCTTCATTCTCATCAGGTTCTCTACTCCTTTTGCTTTGCTTTGGATTTGGACGGCTATGCTGCACTCTGTTACTGTCAACTTTACAGTTAACAACAAAGATTGCCCTGTACTGGGTCACATATCTTTCGTGCCTGCAACACCACAATCAAAAATATTAAGCTAAATTCAAATATTTAACTTAAAAGAAATCACAAACGTCTGAGTGAAGCAATCAGTGCAAAATCAAGGATAAAATAAGACACATCAACTTCATAATTAGAATTACGGGAAACCAGTTCCAAAATAATGCAAGAACAATTACACTATTCAACTGAAAGCTTAAATATCTGTGTCCTACTATTGCTAGAAGTATAGATTCATAGAAAACAAATAAGCTGAAGTGCTCTTTACTTGCAGACAAAGAAGGGACACTGAACACTCACATCATTGCATATGTTCAACATTTATAGCGACTCACTCTACACACACACACAAAAAAAAAAAAAAAAAAAAAAAGGCCAAGTAACATGTGTTGATTAATGCAGTATCACATGCTACTCTGCACGTAATCAAATGCAAGAAAGAATTCACAACACCCTTTAGAACTTGGTAACCATCTTACTTGAGCAAAGTTCCTGTTCTTATTTCCCAAATCCCAATCCTCTCCCAAATACTTAACATGAGGTGCTGAACCAACTTTACGTCCCAATCACACATTCATGAACCACAAACATGATATTAATATATATGCATCTGCTCTCAACTAGCTAAATATCTGTATTTGAGTACTTCCATAAGGAGAGGAAAGGGGTAAAAAGTTGGGAAGGAAACATAAATCACATTTTATCATTGAATGTGTTTGTATCAAATTGAATCAGCATGAACACATAACCAAAAAATCAGATGAACACTGGATATAAATGCTAGTACCGGTATTCTCAACAGTTGGGTCAAACAGAAATCTCAGTATGTTTAAGTACCTGTGTTTGACAGCATGTTGTAATACAAGTATAAATCAGACTACTTGGTGGACATTCAGAATGCAATCTGTAACTCTATCTATCTTTACTCCATGACAGAATATAGTATTTCATCAACAAATCAGTCCAGATGGGTTTCTCTCCTATACGTGCTTGGAGCTGTCAGGTAAAAGAAAAACAAAATGGTTGATTGGTTCAAGTTACTATAAGGCATATTCTCAACAGATTATCAACAGAGTTTAGAAGCTTTGTTTGGGAAGAAGCATTGATCCTGTTTGCCTATTAAGCAAAGCAGCAAATGAAGATTGTGATTAATTGTTTTTTCAATGTGTGTTTTTCAAGCCATATCGCAACATATTCTGCAGATGAGTGGCATGAAGATTAGTTAGTGAATGGCCTGCTGAATTTGGTTGGCAAAAAAGTATTCTGCAGCCAAGATGTCTTCTTTATCAGTTGCAAAAGAATAGCCTGGTGTGATTGCATTTATGCAGTTTGAAAGGTATAGCAGGGCCCATCTAAACCTGCTGTTACGGTCAAGTTGGTTATCCACATTATTCAATACAGACTGCACAAGTCTGTTGTGGATCAACAGTATAGAAAACGACAGCAGCACAGGGAGGGAAACTAAGATCTTGCGGATATTTATTTATTGCTTTTATTTATTATTTATTAAGAATAAGTCAGATTAGGAAAAGAATATGAGAGTCCTAATCGGTGTGATATTTTAAGTAAGACTTTCTATATTAGTGTGTCTGTTTAGGTAACAACCGATTAAGTTTGTATTCGTTTTTCAGGCGCCTGTACTATATAAAGAGTGGATGCTTTCTGAATAAAGGTATCGAATAATTCAGTCAAGAAAAACCTAAAAGAGTTGGTGGTCTCTAAAACAAACCATCCATTATTATCTGTTCACAATAGGTTCTTCACAAAAGAATCGAAATGCGAACAAGGAAAAACTAATTGATTTTCTCATTAATTGACCCTTTAACAAGATCCTTAACTTGGGACCATAACAAATTGGTATCAGAGCTGACCGTCATGGGTGATAAAGAGCAACTATCAACCAGAGTACAAGACTTGGATCGCTGTCTGACAAAATTCAACCTCACAGTTGGTCAGGAGTGCTACACGGTGGGGCAGGAGTGGCATGAACTGAGGGAGAGTATGAAAACAATTCAGAACCTGTTGGAATGACAATCATTGAACAAGGATAAGGCTTCGGAAACTGAGATGGGGTCTGGTAGCAACTCTTGTTTTGCGAACCAACCAAAAGTGTCGCAAACAGAGGGACGCACCAATACAGCATTGGTTGCTCGATATTCCAGGTTTGAATTTCCTTATCGGGATATGGAGGACCCGTTGGGATGGCTTTATCGCTGCGAACAATTCTTTTTGAACCAACGAATAAAAGAGGGAGGTACGTTGGGCTTAGCTACTTTTCATATGACGAGTGAGGCTCAACTGTCGTTCTTTTGGCTAGAACAAGAAAAGCTGAATATCACTTGGGATCAATTCAGATCCTATTGTTCTATGAGATTTGGCCCTCCATTTAGCAATAACCCGTTAGGGAGCTAGTTAATCTGAAACAATCTGGCACAGTAGAGGAATATCAGAATCAATTCCAGACACTCCTAACTAGGGCTATTTCTATTTGAGGTGATCAGCAAGTTGATTTGTTTACTGCAGGAATCACAGAGACGTTACGAGTGGATGTTGATATGCAAAAACCCCCTAATCTTGTTACAGTTATGAATTTAGCTTGGGTTTTTTATAAAAAGCTGCAACTCTAGCGGAATTGGAGTGAAAAGCACTCTTTCTAACTAGTTTCCCCCAAAAATGACAGGTTCAGCTCCTCCACTCACTGTCAACCATGAATCAAAACAGATGGGAGGAAGTTTGCCCATGGTTTCCAACACAAGTACATCAACGTATTTCATTAAAAAGTTATCAAGTGTAGAGATGGTGGAGAGGTAAGCAAAGAAACTTTATTACAATTGTGATGAATCGTTCTTTGTTGGACACTGGTGTAAATGTCTATTCTGCTTGTTGGTAGACAACTTCGACAAGGAAATAGAACCACCGTGGATCTCGAAATCTCCCTCCACACCATAACAGGGACTAGGAATGCACCTTGATAATGCTACAAAAGAATCTAAGAGAGGACACTTATCCTCATTTTGAGCTTGAGAACAAGCTCGATGTCTAGGAAAGTGTAATGTCGTGGATCGACAATATAAAAAACGGCAACAACGCAAGGAGAGAAACTAAGATCTTGCGGATATTTATTGATTGTTTTATTTGTTATTCATTAAGAATAAGTCAGATTAGGAAAAGAATATAAGTCCTAATTGGTGTGATATTTTAATTAAGACTTTCTATGTTAACATGAATCTGTTTCGGTAATAGCCTATTATGTTTGTCTTTGTTTTTCATTTCAGCCACTTTTACTACATAAAGAGCGAATGCTTTTTGAATAAAGGTATCGAACAATTCAGTCAAGAAAACACTAGGAGAGTTGGTTGTCTTTAAAACAAACCATCCATTATTATCTGTTCATAATAAGTTCTTTACGGAAGAATCGAAATGTGAACAAGGAAAAGGTAGTTGATTTTCCTGTTAATCGACCCTTAACGAGATCCTTAACTCGAGACCATAATAAATTAGTATCAAAGCCGACCATCATGGGTGATAACGAGCAACTATCAACCAGAGTACAAGATTTGGATCGCCATCTGACAAAATTTAACCTCACGGTTGGTCAGGAGTTCCATACAGCAAGGCAGGAGTTGCGTGAACTGAGGGAGAGCATGAGAATGATTCAGAACATGTTGGAACGACAATCATTGAATAAGGGTAAGGCTTCGGAAACCGAGATGGGGTCTGGTAGCAACTCTTATGAACCGACCAGAAGTACTACAAACAGAGGGATGCACCAATATAGCATTAGTCCTTCGATATTCCATGTTAGAATTTCCTTCTTATAGTGGTATGGAGGACCCGTTGGGATGGCTTTATTGCTGCGAACAATTCTTTTTGAACCAGGGAACAGAAGAGGGAGACAAGGTGGGCTTAGCTGCTTTTCATATGACTGGTGAGGCTCAATTATGGTTCTTTTGGCTAGAACAAGAAGAGCTGAATATCATTTAGGATCAATTCAGATCCTATTGTTTTCTGAGATTTTGCCCTCCATTGAGTAGTAACCCATTAGGGAAGCTAGCTAATCTGAAACAATTCGACACAATAGAGAAATATCAGAGTCAATTCCAGACCCTGGTAGCTAGGGCTATTTCTGTCAGGGGTGATCAGCAAGTTGATTTGTTTACCACAGCACTTACAGAGGCATTACGAGTGGATGTTGAGATGCAGCGACCCCCTAATTTGGTTACAACTATGAATTTAGCTCAAGCTTTTGACAAATAGCTGCAACTCTCCGACAAAATTAGAGTGAGAAGCACTCATTCTAACTGGTTTTTCTAAAAAATGACAAGTTCAACTCCTCCACTCACTGTCAACCATGAATCAAAACAGTTAGGAGGAAGTTTTCCCATGGTTTCTGACACGGGAAGTACATCAACGCATTTCATTAAAAAGTTATCAAGATCAAAGATGGCGAAACGGCGAGTAAAGGGACTTTGTTACAGTTGTGATGAATCGTTCTTTGTTGGGCACCGGTGTAAATGTCTGTTCTACTTGTTCTGGACGACTTCAACAAGGCACCAAACCCGCTATGGATCTTGAAATCTCCCTTCACATGATAACAGGGACTAGGAATGCACCCTAATGATACTACAAAAGAATCAATCACTTCCCTACAAGACACTTATCCTCATTTTGAGCTTGAGGACAAGCTCAATGTCTAGGAGGGGTGTGATGTTGTGGATCAGCAGTATACAAAACAACAACAGCACAAGGAGGAAAACTAAGATGTTGTGGATTTTTATTTGTTGTTTATTAAGAATAAGTCAGATTAGAAAAGAATATGAGAGTCCTAATTGGTGTGATATTTTAATTAAGACTCTCTATGTTAGTGTGAGCCTGGTTAGGTAATAGCCTATTAAGTTTGTCTTTATTTTTCAATCACCTCTACTATATAGAGCAGATGCTTTTTGAATAAAGGTACCGAATAATTCAATCAAGAAAAACCTAGGCGAGTCGGTGGTCTCTAAAACAAACCATTCATTGTTATCTGTTCATAATAGGTTCTTCACAAAAGAATCGAAACATGAACAACGAAAAACTAATTGATTTCTCCGTTAATCAACCCTTAAAGAGATCCTTAACTCGGGACCATAACAAAGTCAAAATCATTGCAAGAAGCATTAGTCAATCCCTGATATGCAAAAGTTTATAGGAACTTGATGCTGACTTAACAGTGTATAGTCTTTTATAGTTTATTCTTGATTACTGTTCAACTTTGTTTTTAACATTCATTGTTCTTGGTTTGTAAGAGGGTATCTTCCTGTTTTAATTGTTTTTTGGTCAATGATAAATTCACATATATATATATATATATATGAAAAAAAGAGATAAGAAGTTACATTGTGGTGTTACTCAAGACTGAAATTACTTCTATAACTTCCACAAAAATCCACACCAATGCCACTTGCATCCCTTGTCCTTACAATATAAAGAAACCCCATTTCAGTGCAGAGAAGTTATGCACGTTTTCATATTAAAAACCTTTTTCAGATTAGAAAGATAAGACGCTAAAAGCTACCATATCCATAGGGTAAATTCTTTGATGCCTTCGGAAAGCCCAAAGGTGTTGAAAAGGCACAGAAACGGCATTGATCCAGATGTTTCAAACATCCGGTCATACAGCAGTTGTTGTGAAACATCTGCTTTAACGCTGTTTCTACTTCTCAATGCCTTTGAAGGCACCCAAACTATCATCTCCAAAGTCCAACTACTTCATCTCGTGTATGCGAGGTTTCACATTGCCACAGACAACAGTCAAGCACCACATTCCAATCATTATACATCCTGAATGCTACAACCCACACGCACAAAAAGGCATAGGTAATTACATCAAGGTATCATTAATTCATATCAAGTGAAGCACAAACAAGCCAGTGAACAAATCGTAATCCTAATCTAGTGGCAACATCAATCAAAGCATCTCTCTTCACCCCAATTCAAGAAAATATTTAAAACACATACATACCTTTGACAATCAAGGCAAAGAGTGGTGAAACAAGCAGGACAACTAAGAACAGCATCAGAATCACTTCCTTTCCTTTTCTTTTGAACCCATAATTCATCTTTATCGTCAAGTTCTGGGTCGTAGAATTCTGGCTTTACAGTATAATCTATCTCATCATCATCAGAAACTGAGTAACACACACATACGCAATACACAAAAACGAATCTTTTCAACATCAGAAAGATTAAAACTTTAATTTCACATAGACTATAAAAAAGAACAGAAAAGCTAGAAACTTTACTTGTTTGCTGTGAATTTGAAGGGGAACCCATGTCTGTGTCTCCTTTGTTATCTCCTTCCATGGCGTTAAAACTTGAAACTGAATTGCATTCAGCTCGGCAAACAAATTTTAGGAAAAAGATCTAAAAAAATCTCCTTTTTTTTTTTTTTTTTAACAATTCCCCAATATCGTAATGAGTCGGTGCACGTGAGTTTGATTACGGGAGGATCTTAAACTGAAGCTGTGAAGTGTGCAGCAGTCTCTGTCTTTGTCGAAAGGTGAAAAGAAGAGAACTAATGGAGAAAATATTTTCAAAAAAATATTATTCTCATCGATATTTAAAAAAAATAAAAAAGATTCATTTATTATTTTTTATGTAAATTTTTTTATATTAATTATTTTTTTTATTTCTTTGATGCAATATTAAAAAAAATTATTTTTTTTAAAAAAAAGTTATGTTAAATTTATATTTAGATTGTTATGAATTTTCATTTAAGAATAAATGCATAAAAAAGAATAAATTACATTTTTTAACTACAAAATTTATTCAAAAAAATTAGATAAAATTTTTTGATTAGAAGTTATAAATTAGATAATATTTTATTTTTAATTTTTAATTTAATATATTTTAATTGATCGATAATATAATACATGTCATCAAACTAAAATAAATATATTTAGTTTAGTCCGTAATGAATTACGGAAAGTCGACTAATATACATTATAATTCTTCAGTCTACTTTTACACTCCAATTTTATCTTTCATAAAATTGGGTTTTAATTTTCTTATCTAAATATAGATTTTCATTCCATTGGTGTTAACTCAATATATATATATATATATATATATATAGAGTAGATTTATTTAATTAAAATGTTAATTATATTTATATTGACAAAAAAAATCCTCTAAACTTTTTGTCAATAGTTAAATTTTATAAAAAATTATTTCAATAAATGATTGTCACACGTCCATCTAAAGACTAGAGGGTTGATACACACATTTACATTTAAGATTCTCCACGAGTTAGATTTATACCAAATCATAATAAATTTATATTCGATTTATTTAATAAACGAGATCAAATCCGAATCTTATGAAGTTTTGAATCTTGTTTTTTAATTTTCAAATTAGATTTAGATCTTAATAGGTTCTAATCGGATTCGAATATCCATCATATTTATCATTCACTTTTTTTGAAAAGATAAAATATTGGGTACATTCACAATCATGTTTCGATGTCAAATGAACTTCAACCACTATATCTATAAGAAAATATATTATGATAATATTTAATATATCAATTAAAAAAAAAATCAAAATGTTTGACCATTAAAAATAATAAGATCAAATAATTTTGATAAAAAATTATAATAAGATCAAAATTAATAAACTTGAAATGGACATAAATTCATATTGGATCAAGATGTTATAAATTAGAAATATAAATGTAATACTATCCACAACTTGTTAACTAATTAAGTTTTTCATATATTTATAGGATTTTTGGCAAAATTAATTTTAGACTTGAAAGATGAACAAAAAATATTATGTAATTGTTTGGAAGAATAGCCATAAATATAGGGAAAAAAATTCATATTGGATCAAAACATTATAGATTAATTAGCGTAAATATAATATTTGATTTATGCCAAGATCGTTCGATCTCATATCTTTATTATTTTTTCTCTGTCATCATCAATCCTTAACTCACTACTCTTTTTCTTTGATCTAACCCAAATTCCATTCATTTTCTTCTACATTCAAAATAAATCAATGACTTTGTGGTCTATTCTAAACACACAATCCCCATCACAAACCCTAACCCTCCAAAAATTACCTCATGGTTATCGCTTACGTCCCGATGAGCAAGAAGTGGTGTGCTTCTTCTTCTTCTTCTTTTTTTAATCCAAAACTCACTAACCCTTTCTTCACCCCTTTTGCTCCTATTAGAGATTGCGACTTCTACACCCATCAACCCTTCCAAATTTAGAACACCTTCTCCAAACTCCATGTGTAATATCCCGAATCTATTATTAAATGAATTAAAAATTTATGAAGGATGTATGAAAACTATTACGTGGGTATAGGATAGTGGCCATGAGGATGCTAGAATATTCGGTGTGCTTAGGATAATTTTTCAATGTTGTGTGAATATTTTATCCGTTTTTTGATGCATGAATAGTAATTTTAAAAGCAAAATAATTGTTTTAAGCATTTTAAATGTGCGGGAAAAATATTCTGTTTACAAAGAATATTTACTAAAGGGGTGCTAGATTATTTGATGCCATTGGATTGATTTTTTAATGTCCGGTGAATATTTTCAATGCATGAATAATGCTTTTCATGTAAATTAATTATTTTGAGTATTTTAAACGTATTTGAAAATTTTTCAATGGACGAAATAGAAAAATCATTAAGGAGGTGTAGGAATATTCTATGAACTTAAGTGAATTTTTACGTGCGAGAGAAAATATTTTATATAGAAATAAGCGTATTTTTACACAAGATAATTAATTTAAGGGCTTAAAGAAGTGTATAAAAATTATGTTAATGATGAATAAATTCTTACAAGAGGTGTTTGAATTTATTATAGAAAGAAATTAATTTTTGAAAAGGTGTGGAATAAATTTCATAGAAATTAAGGACCTAATTGCAAAGAATTAGGGCCTAATTGCATAAACATAAATGTTTGAACATTCAAATTAAATTAGGAATGAAGTTTAGGAAGTGAAAAGTTGTCGGGAAAACCTTAAAGGAAGGGTGCCTAAAGGAATCAATTGAATAATTGGAGGACTTATGAAAAAGTAATTGTAAGAAAGTTTACTAAATTAAGGGACTAAAATTAAATAAATTGGGAGAGATTTTCTCCCCTTTTTTGCTGCCATTCTCTATCAATTATTGGGTGTATTAATTAACTTGCACGAATGGAGGAAGGAGATTAGGTTAGATGGCTTAGATGGAAAGTTAAAGTCAAAAGGTAGCATTAAGGTTAAGATTTAAAAAAAATGAAAGGCTTAGATTAAAAGTAAAATCAAGGGCTAGGATTAAACCAAATGAAGGGTTGAGATTAAGTCAAACATGAAGAAAGTCCACCCAAGCATACCTATAAATATGGGTAAAAGAGAAATGGGAAAAATATTGGAAAAATAGCAAAACACAATGGAAATCCTTGTCAAAATTTCCATAGACTTCCACCTAAAATCTTACCTAAACACTTTTAATCATCTAAAAACATCCTATTAAGCATAGAATTCAAGTTGGAAAAAAAAATCTTAAGGAGGAAAAATTGAGGATTAGGTCAAGAAAGAGGGGGAAGAATTCTCAAGGGAAATTAGTCTTTCAAGTGTTTTATTGAAGTTTTAGAGGTAAAAAAATCTCACCTATAACACAAGGATGTATTAATTGATGTCAATTGTTGATTTGGAACCCTTAATTTGTGTTTAAATAAATAAATTTTGAAAATTAAGGTTAGGGTCCTTAGTGAGAAAAAATTTGAGGAAAATGGTTTTTACTTTGAAATTCATGCAATTGAAGTTAGAATATGTTAATTGAGCATAAAAAAATGTGTTAGAAATAAGCATTTCTTAGCTTAATTCTTGGTGACACATTCGGCCCAAATTGTCAAATTTAGGGTTTGTGATTCTTGCTTTTGTTTGATGAATTATTATTTGATTATATGTTACTCAAGTATGAATAGATGATTCGAGCAAGATAAATTATATAAAAATTAAAAATTTCACCTAGTTACCCTAAGCCCACATTCGGCCCAATTTAGGAGAAAATTTAGGTTTCAATGCTTATGGTTTCTAATGATTTAATTAATTAATTTCAAGTTAGTATAGTATAAAAAGAAAAATTAGTATGGAAAATTTCATTGAAATTAAAAAATTAACCTAGTTTACCCTTTATAAAGTTTTGGCCCAATTGGCCCAATTTAGGGTTTTTACTATATTGAATTTACATAAGATTAATTAGTTAATTCCTTGTTATTAAAGTGCATTTAGATGATTTAACATGGACATTGGTATTGAAATTGAAAAAATTTACATAGCCTAAGTTAGTGACATATTTGACCATATTGAAAAAAATTAGGTTTGTGGCTCATTTTGTGTATTATGATTGTGACATAGTTTACATGTTACCATTGAATGTGAATTATGTGATTACTATGTGTGGAAGTTGTGAATTTGATGATTAAAGAAGTGTGATGCCTTGTGTTTATTGTCAATATTTGGTTATGTGATGTTTAAGTTAATGGTTTCATGGTTTGGAATGATTTGGAATGGCATTACAAGGTATGGCTATTATGGTGCATTTATAATATTGAGATATGCATTATTATGACATAAATATACAACATTCATGACATTCATTACATGAAATCATGATAATTATCCATTTACATGAAAATGCATATGCATGCCAAGTCATAAAAAGGATTTTATAAAAAAGTTTTAAGTCATGAAAAAAGGATTTTCCTTTAAGAATTTTCCAATAGTAGTTGGAAAATATTTCATGGTTCATAAGGTTTTTCATGACTTTCATGATGATGGTTTTCATGGTATTATGGAAAAGGCTTTATGGGTTTTCCTTGACTTTCATGGTTCATAGTTCAAGATCGAGTGAGTGTAGATGTGCACTTTCGGAGACTCGATAGGGTATGTCCATAGATTGATCTAGTTCTCCAAGCATATCATGAAAACCTTAAAGTGTAAAGATGGGACATGTCTAAAGATAGAAAAGATTTTTCAGAATGATCATAATGAGAATTTTATGATATGGAAAAGGGTTTTTCAAAGAACATACAAATAATTTATCATGTGTATTTCATTTACATGCATGTTATGCCTAGGTTGACTTACCGAGCAATCGCTCACTAAGTTCTTATGGTGTAGGTACTAAAGGTAAAGATGGTAATGTTCACGTTTGAGATGACTATCAAGAGATTAGTTTGTCGCATATATCTTAGATACGGATATAAGGTGGACCTCCTTCATACGAGTAATTATATTAGTGCTTGATAGTTTGGTTTACATACTTAGTAGAGCATCGCTCTTTTACACGATAGTTAAGGCTAT